TTTTTTACAGCACGTTTTCCGAATTTTTACAACACAAAAATCCGGTCTCTATTCATAAGTTACTTTTCTGTTGAAATTTTGATGTACCAATTGGTGGTATTATTCGTTTTTCTTGACTTTTCCGGAACACCCTTTATAGAACGTAGAGGTGCGGTAGAACTAAATGCAGTTACATGATTAAGAATATAGTCCGATCATCCCGAGCTCACAATATGCCATTGTTCTTTGTCTGGGCTCGATGGGAGCGAGCTATCGTGCCATTTAAAGGTCTTAATAGGGCGGAAGGATACCGGGTCACCATCTCTTCTAAATATTCTAAATAAATTCTCAGCATGTCACTTGAGCACGAAAACCTTAGGGCATCCCGCTCGCTGTCAATACTTAATTTACTTTTGATTTAAATTAAAAAAAAAATAATAGAAAAGCATGACTTAAAAAATTACTTACGGTGAAACTGATTATTGAAAACTCTCCAGTGAATGTTTCATTCAGGAATATTGTGGATACATATACTTTTTATAGGTCTTTGAAAAATATCTTGGGTTTTCATTTATAACAAATACGGGCCTATCTATCTATTTTGGATCGAATTTCATTCTAGAATACTATTTTTTGAGACTATGATTTTTCATATAAGTGGCCTCATATCAAAGACAGACGTCTGTCACTTAAAAATAAACGAGAAAAATACAATTTACATTGACATTGAAACCAATTCTGATGATTTTGTTTCAAGAATCAACTTGAACATTCTTAAATAAAATCACCACATACAGTTTGAGGTGAATCAATAATACAAAAATAGACCTTTCCTTCTTCATTTTTTTAAAAATTACCAGATGTCCGTCTTTGATAGATTAAATAGAGGGAAGGATTTAATAAACATGAAATTTGTATGAATTGTATGAAAAGCGAAAATTTTGCTAATTTTATTGTAACAAATTCGTTTAGATTTAATTTAACAATCTGTCTCAAAGGGCCTTTATAATAGTGTCAGAGATCGCATTCACACTCTATATGTTATATCTATATATATATATATATATATATATATATATATATATATATATTATTCTTATTTATGTATATATATTTTATCTATTTATGTATATATAATTATTCTTATTATTGTATATATATATATATATACAATAAATAAGAATAGAATAACCTAAAAATAAATATGAGAAGGAGTTAGTCGAGGGTGCGGTCAAATAAATAAAAAAAAATTAAAATATATTAATTATTTTAATTTTTGCCGACGTTTCGACCCACTTTGCAGGTCGTCTTCAGGGCGTACGATGTGGCACTGCGGGAGGCAGTTGAAACACTGGACGTGGAAACGTCGGAAGAACGTCGAGGCAGTTGAAACACTGGAAATGTCGACAAAAATTAAAATAATTAATATATTTTAATTTTTTTTATTTATTTGACCGCACCCTCGAGTAACTCCTTCTCATATTATATCAACGGTCAACCATCTCTACATCACTAAAAATAAATAAATCAAAAAGAACACATACATACCTATATACACTAGTTACAATCAGGCGAGACAACTCCAAACCAGACTTGTCCCTCCAACTGTGGAGGGAAAAGCATGACTCCACGAGTTCCCTGCGCTACTCTACAAATGACTACAAAAACGCATTAAACTAAATACAATATAGCTTAATTGCGATATGTTGCATTAAAACTTCATTTAAATCATACTTCTCTTTCAAAGGGTTTTTGATTAGTAATTTATAATTATACAACAGGCCAAGACACTAAACTTGTGCTTTGGCAAAAACTTCCGGTAAAAGGTCCAATATAGATCCCTTTTTAAATACTATTATGGAGCATATCCATTTTTTTTTTTTTTTTCTCCAATACCAAAAATAGTTTAACACTTAGCCAAAAACGATAAGTATTTTAAAACTTACTATCAACATTACTTATATTACATGTTCTATTTTCCCTTCAAGACATGACGCACTCTTTATATTTTATATATGGTATCATGATTCAGTTTTACTTAGATATATATCATCGGTTATACACTCATATACCTTCCTCAGGGAAATTCCGAAATTCATCATCTCGGTGGAATAATGTTATAATTATATCGCTGGTAATAAGAATGAATTCAAAATTTCTTTATTCCAATAGCGTCGCCGTTTCAAATATTAGCAGTAACGTATACAATTTTCATTATATTTTTTGTACTAATAAGATGTTACTTAAATGCTGAATTAATACTATATTATCATTGTGTATTAGAATATCCCCACTTTTTATTATTTTTATGTCATTGACTGAAGTAGAATTGTAATGTTAAATTTTGATAATTTTTCACTCAAATATTAACATCTAATCAAGTCACATTAACTGACTCCATCATGGATATGGACTTTAGCACAATAAATTTGTATTACAAAATGGTTCTCAGAGATTGTATACCGGTTCTCACGGGTTAACTCACGCGCAGAACTGTTACTAGGCTAGACGTGTGAAGTTCACAAGATACCGCGAATCTAATCAATCCAAAATGGGTTGCTTTTAGTTGCTAATAATAATCAAACCCTCGTTTACCAGACTCTATTACGACTGTCTGATTTTATTATTGTGTTAAATAAACCAGGATTAGAAAATTAAGCTTTTAATTTAGTATTTCGGGTTTGGTTTCTAAAGTAAGATATTATACACATACATTGTTTCTCTTATTTTCGAACATATCCATACCATTTCCCATTTTTTTTGCTTTAGTTAATAAGCAAATCCTTTCAGTTTATATTTATCAATTTTTACAATTAATAATAATGAAGTGTTAATTCATTCAATTCAATCAAAGTGAAGATATTTCAGATAAGGCCGTTTTGAAAATTCGACATTTAAGCCACCAGACTATTTCAATACGAATAAAGCCTAGCTTATATATATTAAATACCATTGGTATAAGGAGTTTAATCAAAAACTTTAGAACCTTCTAGGGAAAAAAAAAGAAGAGTAAAATTGACCATTTATAGTGGTACATTCGGTAAGAAAATTTTACGAGACTTGGTTTGTTAGGCTCATGGGACCCTAAAACTTGAATTTGAGTATGAAACTCAAACTCAAAATGTTGTAGAATCTCAAAAATTTTAATTAGTATATATGTCATGCATAAATGTAACTGAAAATAATAAATTGTTGGCTGATGTTTGACTGTAGTGAATAATAAAGAGAAGGCTGATTGGGGTGATCAGTCAAAATACAAGTGGCAAAAATAAATAATAATTATTTTAACATTTGCCGACGTTTCGACCCGAAGTTCAGGCCTTCATTAGGGCTGAGAAAAGAACCAGATAACAATAGGTATGAGAAATATAAACAATGTAGTTGTTTATGTTTCTATGCTACATTGTTTATGTTTCTCATACCTATTGTTATCTGGTTCTTTTCTCAGCCCTGATGATCGTCGACAAATGTTAAAATAAATATTGCAAGTATTTCTTCAATTTGCTAAAAAGTAGCTATTTCCAGTGCTTCGCAGATATTAAATTAAATGCCATAGTATATTTTATATCGATAATTTTTATTAATAATCTATTTATTGAATAATAATACAATCAGCCACTGCTGGAGGGCTATAAGGATTAGAGCTAAAAGTTCTTATTCATACAGTATATACAAGTAATAGAGAAATAAATATAAATATAAGAAGTAAATAAATAATACTGATGAAGAAAGTAAATAAATGAAAAAAAAAAGAAAACAAATAACATAAAATAGAAATTTCTAAACACAATCATACCTATATACAATATATTCATTCGCCAAGGAATCTCCGAGCCAGGCTTTTTCCTCCACATGTGGAAGGCAAAGCAAGACTCCATGAGATCCCAGTGCCAATTTTCCAGCCGCATCACTAGTATTAGAAGCCAGTGGAGATTGAAAGAGGGCACTAGAGCCACAGACGCTCAGGACATGAGTGGAGAAGCTGGCCATTACCAGGACTCCAGAAGCATATTTACAAGAGATCTCTGGGCCACGGCCGTTTTAACCTTCGAGGAGGATTGTAGAGATGAAGGGAGCTGGATAGGGATTGAGCTAGAGGATTTGGATGATGGATAAGGTTCTGGTGAAAGATTAAGCATCTGGATGAGATGATGTCGAGGACAAGAGAGAGTCTTATTTGTGACATAATATGGGATATTGACTATTGTTCTAAGTACTTTGGATTGGAAGGATTGGATGCGTTTAATATTCGAATGTTTAGCAGTTTCCCAAAAATTCAGGTCCGTAGGTCCAGATAGGTAGGGAAGTGGAATTGAATTAAAAGGGATTGGCGGACAAGATCTGTGTCGCAGAGTGTAAGTGATAGTTTGCATTTTGATTCATTGATTTTGATGCGCCAGTTGTTGCACCACTGTTCAATCAAGGAGAGGTGAGATTGTAGGTTTAGAGATGATATTTATATCAATAATTAGTGAGATATGTTGTTGGTATTCTTCTAATAATTATATTTTAGCGGCTATGAAATGTAAGCGAATACATAATTTTGAAAATGCTAATTAAGTTTCGTTAATGTTAATTTAATTTATACTTTGTGATTACTTGTCTAACTTGGTACTGACAGCTTTTGCAATGCAATGGTTAAAATTAGGTCGATGATATGAAAGAAAAAAAAGTAGTTTGGTCGTTTGGATCAGAAGTAAAATATGTAGTTTGGTTATGTAGTTAAAACAAGTGTTGTTGAATAATTCAGTTTTTTTTATATTCATGGATTTACATACTTAAAGAACGGGTTATTGCTAGTAAGTGAGGGAGGACGTGTCCGTAATGAGAATCTAATCCGACCCAATTCGCAAACACCAGTAATTTCCATGATACTGTCAGAAGTTCACACTCAAGACATATCAAGACTCCCAAAACATTCCGCAGTTCGAACGTGATAAGGGGATGAATCAGATGGCCCATGGGGTGAAAATCAATTTGAGCCAGCCGGAATGATCCTCGATCCCCCAGAAGTGGAGGGACACGGACGGGGAGTTGGTGGGGGCCCGCGGCGGACCCAGTAGATCGCGCCAGTTCGAACAGTGTGGATGGCTTCAGATCGCGCTCGATGGGACATCTCTTCGCTCTGGGACTGATGTCGCTTCCTAATGTCGGTGCTATGGACTCCTCTCAGGTAACCAGAGAATATACAATATAATGCTAAATAAACTTAATCTCATAAAATTAACTTAGTCACGCTTAGAGAGTATTCCATTGTTCAAAATTTTCACATGATTATTATCATCAAAACACCAAAAGTGACCCAATATTATGCCAGAGGAATCGGCTGCATAAGTTGTTATTTTTCGCTTGCAATGCTCCACTCGCAGAGCAGAACGTGATCTTAGCCGGTTCTCTTATCTGAGGGACTAGCTCATGCTTAGCATATGCATCCTGTAGAAGATATTCGTGTTTTCGAGAACATTTTGGAATTTTCGAAATACTAATGAATGGCGGTGTTTAAAGTTTCGCAACAATTTGTCCAGTCGCCGCCGATGCGATTTATCAATGGTAAACAGAGACAGGTGTTTGGCCTTGAACTTACTTTGTCCTGCAAAATGTAGGTTAAAAATAGGTGATGTCTTTTGTGCTATAGTGTTTTTTCAGTTGAATTCACAATAAGCCTTTGTTTTTAACACGAGTTTGTGTGGTGAGATTTGTTTTAGATGAAAAAATCTTTTCAAAACAATATTTGTATTAAAATCATTAGAGCGTTTTTTCTAATGTTATCAATTAAATACTGCCGTATAATAATATAATATCTTCTCTAAGATTTTTTAATATAATTTTTTTTTTTTTGCCATAAACCAAATGAGTGTCTTCATATCAAAGAAGGACTGTCATTTTAGAAAGTTAAAAAAGATTAAATTTTTGTTTGATAAGTTCTACTCAAACTATTTCTGATGATTTCATTTAAGAATCTGCAAGTTATACCATAAAGCAAAACTATTAGAATCAGTTAAATTGAAGCTACGTTAAAAAAATCGGTTTTTTCTCGGCTTTTTAAAAATGACATATGCATGATCGTCTTTGATATGAAGCAACTCAAATTATCTCTGTATATTGTTGGAGAATAGTACGATGTTTTTTATTTGTTTTTAAAAATTAAAATTCACAAAATATTACGTGTATACAGGGATATCCAGGTTTAAAATCAAGATAAAAATTTCTTGTAATGAATATATATATCTACAACAATGAACAAGAAGAAAAGTAATTCACAAAAATATACTTTTTTTTTTTTTTTTTTTTTTTAATCTCCCGTTCATAAGTAATTACTACATGATAAGACGTAATTCTTAATGATTGTTTTGTAACGATAATTACGTGTTTTATTTTTTTTTTATTATTCAAAGTGGCCGTTTTCTTTTTTACAGTAACATATTATCTAAATGTTTTCAATAACTGATTCTAAGACATACTAGTCCGTGGTCCCGACCACTTTTTTTATCAAATTATTAACATTCACCTAAAACTTCGTGAATAGCTTCATCTCATCGTAACCTACAAATAATTTATTTACTAAAACTTGGAAATCTTGGAATTGGAGCTTTTTCAATCTGGAGATCGACAAATATTGTCTATTTAATTTGGTATTAAAAACTCCTAAATATCCATTTGGTTTCCACTTGGATCGTAAGATTCTTTGATCACAAAATCAAGAAAAAAGGTGGCCTACAAAACTATTGGGCCTATATATTTGAAATATTGGAGGTGTCAAAGATTTTTGTAGGTCGCCTTTTTCCTTTATTTCGTGATCAAATTATCTTACGATTCAAGTGGAAAGCGAACGAGTATTTACGAGATTTTATTAACTTATTAAATGGATAAAGTTTACAGATCACCGCATTGTAACAGCCCCGATTCCAAGAATTTTCGTAAAAATAGTGATAGGTTACGTTGAGATGAAGCTATTTACGAAATTTCAGGCGGATGTTAATAAGTTGATAAAAAGGGGTCTGTACCACGGACTATACCGTTATTAAAGAACTATAAGGATTTTTAAATAAATCATAAATCATTTCTTGAACCACAAGAAATTACATATTTAATGTGTTGGGTAATAGGAACGTTGATTTACGTTTAACATTGTTTATTTTTACCTTTTTGTTGTTTCAGATGTTAGTTTCATTATTTATTATTTATTTAAAAAAAAAAAAACAATTCTGAGAATAGCTTAGTTTTTTGACATATTTTTTATGAACATCCAGTACCCCATAAACAACGCGTTTTATGATGTGATTTAGACAAAGAATATTTCTTTCACAGCACTTTCTATTTATTATTTTAATTTTTTTAATAATTTCTAAAAATCATATCTAAAAAAAAAAGGAAGTATTTAATAGAGCTTTTGCTCGTTGGCTTATTATTTAAATACGTTCTACAAAAAAAAAAAAAAAAGATAAAATCATCACTCGTATGCAGTTTGTTAAAAGTAATATTTTTAATTAAAAGATTTTTTATATTAATATAAAATTAATATCATATTAACTACAACGATTATTTTATAATATTTTGTTTGGTTTAACAAGACTTAAATGCATTGAGCATAGGACATTGCTTCGAGTTGCCGTTGTCGTTATGCTTTTCACCCCAGTAAGGTTCCACTGAGGTATTTTCGGAGATAATTTTTTATTTCCTTATCCGCCCAACTCCACTCCTAGGTTCATTAAAAGAAACAATTAAAATAATTATATATTTCAAGACTGTGACAAGTTCAATGACTTCTTGTGTGAGCAACACAACTTCGTCTCCTCTTTTGATTTATTTTTACAAATAATGTAAATTTATTCATATAATTCATAATGAAATTAATAAAGTTCTTCGAGAAAAAAAATATCTATTATACCTTTAACTTTCACTAATACATAAATAAAAAAATTCAACCGTAAATATTTTGACTGATTCACGTCGTAAAAGTGCATTCCCTCCATCCAGATAATATCAGTGATCAACGCGAAGCTTAGAGAAATAAACGTCTGAGGTGTAGTTACGTTGGATATGAGCATTGTGGCATAATGTTATAGATTTGGTTTTAGGCTAGTCAAACTAATACAAATGATGGAATGTTGTAGTCGTAAAATTGGTTATACTTCAGTTTTTTTAATGACTGAGTCATTACAAATATTTCCCCAGGAATCTTATTTTTATTTATTTTGTAAAAGTTTCGATATTATGACATTTTTTTAGCAATTTCGAGACCACTATTTATGAATTAAAATAAGCACATTGTCTAAATTTAATATTCGTAAAGATTATTTCTGAGAGTAGAAAAATTCAAATACCTGGGCTCCACAATATCTCAATGAATGGCCAACGGACAGAAATATACAGAGGTATAACTCGCGCAAACAGAGCTTTCTTCTCCCTCTCAAAGGTATTGAAATCCAGGAAAAATCTTAAATTAGAGGTGTACAAAGCTATGATAAAACCAGTTCTAATATGTGGCTGTATGACCTGGGCACTAACCAGCATCCTAGAAAAAAGTGTTGAAAGATTTAAAAGAAGAATCCTCCGCACGATAACCGGAGCGGTCTGGGATCAGGGTACTAACACATGGAGAAGAAATACTAATAAAGAACTGCTTACAGAAACTGGTCAATCAATATTCCATGATATGAAGGCACGGTTAAGATGAGCGAGGCATGTAGCTAGTAGCAATCCATCTGGAAGCGTCTACGTAACAATGAATGCCTCAACAGAAGGCAGAAGACCAAGTGGAAGGCCAAAAAGCAGATGGATAGATAGATGGAATGGAAAGAAATAGCCCAAGAGAGGCAGAGATGGAGCAGGCTTGTTAAGGCAGCAAAAGATCAGCAAATAATGCAAACAGAAAAAACAAAGAAGATTTTTTCTACAATCAAGTAAGTTTTATAAGGAGCCAAATTCTCCTAAAGGGGCATAAATGTGGTTTCATAAATAACACCACAAAATCTGAGATTCATGTTCAGTAACTCAGGAAACTGGGATATACCCAAATTTAGTACTTGATCAAAGTTTCCTTTATTCTTTCTATTGTTATTTGAACCGTATTATTTTAATTGGGTTCAATTTATTTTTTACATTAAGTATGGTGGGTAAATAGCTCAGCTTTTGAGTTTAGTGGTTATTAGTAAGGAAGTGCCGTTCCTACGTCAACGGTTGCGTAAGGCGATGATTTGACGCTCAATCACCATGTTTTTCACCTTAATTAATTCACATTACCCACTTTTATAGAGCAAATAAATAAATAACCTGTTGACTCGAACCCGACACCAGAAAAATTCTAGCCGAACTCACTGGGCTACTCCATTCCCTAATAGTTAAAAAGCTTAATTTATTTATTACGAATGTATGAATTTTTTATGGCTATTAAAAAATGAAATGTTATTCTTCGTAATGACGAAACAAAACATGTACTCGCATTTAACCCAAGTATATATAAATAATGCTTTCAAGTCCTGATATAATTCAGCCTAGTTTTTTTAAAAATTTTATTTGACAATTTAGTATTGTTTACTATCGTACTCATACATAGATTATCACAGGTAGCATTCTGGTCAGAAAAAAATATTCATACACACTGGTTCCTATTGTGTTTTTATTTATTTTTTCTACATTGAAGATACGAATTAAGTGTTAAAGAAAACTCACGTTTCCCTTTATTATTTAATGATCCCCGTAGTTATTATTATTTTTTTACCAGGACTGAAAAAGCAATGAGAACTTTTCTCTGTCTTTACGAGTCCATTGTAAAAAGATTATGTTCAAACGTGAATCTCCTGCGGGCATCTTGGGCGACCACAGAAGGTAGATTCGTTTAAAAATGCATTGACACTTCATTAAAAGCGATTTATCTTGGGGATCACAATAACGCCTCATCCATCATTCCTTGGTCGGTGAAAGGGCATAGCTCTTACCAGGCCTTCGTCTGCTCAGTGCAGCGTGCATTTACCCCAGCACTGTGGCTGGAAATCTTCAGTCGTAAAATTTTGATTCATGTCTCTATTCTAAACTATGTTTTATCAATTTATTACTTATACGTCTCATTCTTAGGTTTCGCAAAGGTATCTATTTTTTTTTTTTTCAATGAATACATTGTCAGCTTTTCGATATTTTGTCAACCGTTCCAGCTGACTTCTCCAGAGAGTCCAATTTCGTTGCCTATGGTTTTTATTAAGCCTTCCTATTTTTTATGTAAAGCTTGAGTTGTTGGGTGGGCTAAATATGCTTATTTAACTTATTTCTCTTTTAAAACAAAGGGTACATTTTCTTAAATATTTGTAATTTAAAAGAAAAAACATATGTTGCTGATTCAGCCCGAGCCAGATACCTATCCTTCCATGATAAACTCCCATCCGAATCCAGTTGTTTCCAGCCTTGCTT